ATGAAGGTTTGCGAGACATCACCATTTATAAAATCAATATCGGCACAGCCTTTAGACACAGAGAGGTGAAGTTGTGTTTGTACAGGGAGCATAAAAGTAGGAGTAGAAATGACGGGTCTTTCCAAACAAACCCTAACAATAATAACGCAGACTAAAGGGGCGAGGTTCTGTAGTGGCAGTGAGAAGAGAGTACGTAGCAAATGGAAAGTTTTCTGGCTGTGTGTGTGGGAGAGAAGGAGACCTCAGGTATTATAAAGCGGGAAAATGTGGAAAAACCTCTTTGATGCCTTTACAGCAGTCGAGGAAGAAATCAATAGCATTTTGACTCGGGCCAATGAACATCTCGATTCAATAAATCAAAAAGTATCTACTCTTCATTCTTTCATGGCTCACAGTCTGGGATATTACGTCTAGTGAGAATTTGGTTGCTTTCAAAGCTGGTCCGTTGACATTCGTGGAAAAGTTCAGTTACTGCAAACACGTGACAGGTGATAAGGAAGCCTTGGCGTCTGGAAAATTAAAACATCAACGCAGGAAGTCGATAGGAATGAATTGAAATCGCGATGAGTGTGAAATATGAAGTGGTCTTAAGGGTAATTTATCCCCAACTTAATCACAGAGCGACATTGTTTTCCTCCGCGTTCCCCTTCTATGTGAAAGACGATGCTTCAGGCGAAATTAATTTAATTAAATTCGTAAACTTTTTGTTTTACCTAATAAATATTTGAACTGTTACTGAAAGCCAGTTCAGATGTTTTAAAATTTGTGGAAACACCACCATTTAATTTCCCAGTAACAAGCACGTCCGCCCTGAAGATAAAGGCGACACATCCCTCCTGCGAGAGTACGTCGCTTCATAACCCTAAAGACCACAATCGACACGCGTATGACCAGACACAAGAAGATTTAAGAGAAATTCTTATAGAAACAAAATTTTAAATACGAAATTGTTCAGATTATCATCTGATTTGATCGTCCTTTAAGACCGATTCAGTTGCTTTATTTGTGAGAGTTATTTCGCGCAGTTTGCACACTGAAAAATCCCATAAATTTTACGTAGTACAGAGCAGACGTAGGATCACACGACTGTAATTTAGACGCCAGTGAGAAATTACACGTCGGGCCGTCCCGTTCTCTCTCGCACGTGGAGAATTAGTACGGAGTGAGATGAAAGCCCCGTTTTTTGAAACCTGGGAATATTTTATTAATATTTTGTTGCTTCTCGCTTCTTGTCTGTACTCCGTTTTTTTTTTTTTTTTTTTTTTTAGGTCCAGTGATCTGTTAAATTATGTATTCGTAAGCCGTGTGTTGGAGGACAAGGAACTCTCATTGCTTCATGGAACTCTAATAACAATCCATGGCCTGTTTAGGTTTCGCCTTTGTTTCATTTTTACTGCTGGTCTTATCGAACTGCGTTCTACCTTGCATTATTAACCAACTCTCTCGACTACCAGCATTTTTACAGAACATGAGTTATTAGACACGAGCAATAATTCCCTAATGAGGACATTTAATATTAACGCAGGGATATTTTGAAACATCTACAGCTGTACCTTGATCTTCACTAAAAGCATATCTTTGTTATGCTATACATAAAGCACATGAAGACTTTTATTTTCCACATTATGGCACCGTTTTTAAAACGTAAATATACAAACGCGTAAATGTTACTTTACTATTCTAATGAAAATCATCCAGACAAGGGCTTCGAAAGAGTTTCCAGGCTTCCTTCAGTCCATCAAGGTAAAATCAGGTCTACCACCCTAAAATAACCCACAACTATTTCCTCGAATATCTTCTTTAACATAAGACCACAATTCATGACGTTCGTTCCATCTAGGCGTCTAGAGTTGACTGAATGTTTACAGCTGACAAACAGTAACGAAAGGTTTGTATTTAACTTCGCTGTTGAATTCTGTGAATATAATCCACAGGGTACAATGGATAAAGAGAGACGTCTGGTGGTGGATGCAGTAACCGAGGCTAGCGTCCACCGTTCAAGAGAAGAAATCTTAACTGATGGAAATCTGAAACACAAATTTTAAAAAAAACCGGAACACTGGTGACCATATGTAGCTATAACATGATTTAACCCTCACTAACTCTGCATTTTACCCCAGAATGTACGTATTTGTGTTTTTCGTACGATTCTCACAGTGACCAGCGATAATTTCGCTAAACGATCCTTGTGATGGTGAGGCGTTGTGTTTTCTTCGCGGTACGGACTGAATTTTAAAACATTATTTACGTATATCAGCTTCAAGAGTAAAATAACGAGTTTTACGAAATCCCCCATTTAAGAAAAAACATATTTTTATTTTCCGGGAATTAAATTTAAACTCTGGACATAACTTGCACTGAATAGTTATGGTTATCTGCCCAATTTTCTTATTCCAAGTCTTTGCAGGTTGTTAAAAATAATGAAATGGCAAGAAATAATCGAAATGCAGTCACTGAGGAGAAAATTTCAGAGGGGAGGGGAGGGGGAGATCCATTAGATAATAAAGGTTCCTTGTTATTCCTTCTCGGCTTTAAAATAACTCTGTACCATTCTTGTCGGTAGCAAATCCTGGACAAAGACAAACTCACACAAATGTTTAGACGTTGGACGCACGAATTATTACTGTAAAATCAGAGCTGTGCTAAACAAAGCTCATCACTGTGGCCATACCAGACCAACGCAACGCAGTTCATATCTTCACATCCTTACGCTGTAACATCCAATTCCCCCGTTATCCTGTGCAGTTCCTTAACTCAAGTTTTTCTGACCAAAATTTCTCATTTCCTCCTTTGAGTTAGGCAACGTGTCTCACACAATCACATTGAGTTACTCGGTTACGTAATAGCACAATTATGAATCTCCTCGTTCCTTAATCTCTCGCAGACGCCTTCCAGCAAATACTTTCTCTTAAGGAATGATTAGTTTGAGATTTAATATGCATAAATACAGTCACTTCTGCACGTAAATTGAGGGTGGAAACTTCGTCTGTAGGAAGGAACCCCGATTCTTTTCCGATAAAATAAGTTTGAAACGTAATGAGACTTGAGGAACGTTCACCAATTTAAGTTTTGTGTCTGTAACTGTCTATGCACGGTAGTTTAAAGTGTGCGCACACGTTCGACGTACAAGCGCGAGACGTAATACGAAGATCAATATGGGTAGCGGATGCAGGCAGGTACAGAGAACAAGTCACGGAGATAAACTGTCTCGCCTGTAAGACATCCGGCGACACTGCAGGTAAACGTGGTAGGTACGTTTAACGACGAATCTCAAGTGATATCCTTGTCAAAAATCGAAAAATATTTTATCCACAATACGACGATGTTCTACAGTGACACCAAAGACTCCACCTTCTCTCTACCGGATACAAAAATATTCACTTCTGGAAAATATCCCTGAATTTGCTTCGTTCCTCTGTCAAGCTATGAGAGACTTCGTAATATGGATTAAGTCTGGCTAAAGTACTTTCAAAGCGCATCTGAAAGGAGTGTCATGCATGAAACAGAATAATCTGTTCCCGCCAAGACTTTCCTGGCAGTTAGATATAGTGTTGAGGGTAGCGCATATTAAATTCTCTTAAATCCCTCCAATGGCCGAAAGTGAATATTCATTTAGGTGCATTTTCCACAGATTGAACCTTGAGGGATACTTGTAACACCCTATAACTCCAAAAAAAGCCCAGAAATACTTATTATTCAGATTAATGTCTTCTAGGATGTTGCACCGTGAAGTCTGGTAGAAGTTTACCGACGTTTCAGAGGTGCTTGCTGCCTCCATCATCAGGGCAATTACTTGCCTTGGTCCCAGAAGTCAGCTTCAAACACGGGCTTTGGGCACGTACATTTTCAGGACGGTCTGGTCAGTTACCTCGTGGCCCTGATAACGCGGACGGACAGTCCGTGAAAACCAACTAATGTGGCCCATAACCAGATTTGGTTTTGTTACGACTCTGAAAGTCGATATTTCACGTAATGGATCAATAGAACAAATTCGTATTCTGTACCAAAACGTAATTAGGAATATGAGATGGGCAAAGCATGTAGCACACACGAGGAGGCAATAGATTCATACAGAATTTCGGATGAAATGCTTACGTCGAGACCAAACCACTGACGAGATTATAAAATTAAAATGGATCTTAAAGAAACTCAGTGGGATTCAAGCGGCAGAGGACGGGAAACAGCGGTCGGCTCTCGTGAAAAATGATCAGGAACCAAAAAGGCAGGGAATTTATTGCTCGGTGACACAAAACCTTCAAAAATGCATAAACAGGAAAGGGAAATAACTGGATAAATTAACCAAAAGCACAGAAGTGAGACCACACACTGAAAAGTTGCGACAACAAGTGGACGAGAGTGCGGATCGCTCGGGCGCCTGTGAAGACATTCATGACGACGGCAGAGACAGGCGCAAGACTCGATACAGTCCGGCACAAGAGGCGACTTCGCACCGCGGGAAATTCTCCACCGCCAGCACAACAAATTATTTACGTCAGTTTCCGACATTAAATCTAGGACCTGGGGTATTTACTCAGCTCCTCAAACAGACCACTTTCTTTGTGGAACCCGAAGGTTCATCACCGTTTTCACAAAACTCCAGCAACAGACCATCCGCATCCAGTTCGCTCCGTCGATTCCTCTCTCCTTAAGGTCCGTCTTAACGTCGTCCTCCCTTCAGGCCTCCGAACAAAAACCTCGTAAACACCCCTCTCCTCCCCAATGCATGCCGCATGCCACGCCCACCTCATCCTCGACGAAACAAATCGTCTTGACGTTTTCGATTTATCTCCGAGTAAAGAGAAGATCAACCAAGATCACCAGACGCGGGTCAGGACAAGCCGAGAGGAATACGACAACAGCGCGGAAGCAAACGCCACCGAGCACTGCCGTCGCCATCACCCAGGGGCACTCCTTACTGTGGTTTCAGCGCCGTTGACACAAAACAACATATAACATAGTACGTACGCTACACACCCATTACATTATGACTGAGACGCTCGTAAACTGGAAGTCACACTTTATTCATAACATCAGCACAAAGTCCGACACACACACACACAAAACATCACGTCACCTGAAGTTTCCTCTCTACGGTCGCATGATCACGATCCGTTAGGTGTGGTACATGCGCAGCAGGCAGCTTGTTACGACCGTCAGGTACCGCTCCCAGGAACTCTTTAAATCAGCCTCCCTAAAGAACGGAACAACGGATTTATTTCGACTCGACTCAATATACTTGACTCTCGTTATACGCGGGGGCTACGCCACACACACACACAGCAAAAATGTGTGAGACGGGAGATTGACGAGAGACTCTCGGGTTGCGAGCCGCGTCACCTTCACTTTGTACAAAATGTGAAATGTGTAAAAATTGCAATTCTGATGTAAAACCCGCGCCAGAATTGTCTGACGCTAAGCTCGTCGTCTGCATTACATCCCTGAGAAGCCTTCGGAAGGCTCGAAGCAGACGACGGTCTTTAAATTTGGCCGCAGATACGATAACGACGCTCCTCGCGATATAAAAAAAACACTAGGGCATTCCAAAGCGCGTACGATGAGAGTCACGTGCGTCGACCGGTCTCCTAGAATCAAATTAGTGAATTTAAGCGGTTTGGCAAAGAGACAGATCGCGTGATGCAGACGTCAGAAAATGACAGGCGAAAAGGAATGTACGGCAAGGACTTGGCTAAAACCACAATGCGTTATGGCTCTGGCTGTCGTTGGAATTGTTACGTCCCCAGGTTCTTTGCGCAGCTTAAAGCTCAGACAGTGCCGTAATTTAAAACGTTAATGTAAATGTAAATACTGAATGGTGCCTGCACCTTGTCCTGCTGGTGGGGCTTGACCCCAAGAGCTATTGGTAGGGCCTCCCTAGGGGGAGAGGTCAGACTAAGACAGGTACCCTGGTCCTCCAGGTCGGGGGTTAGTCGCAAGGCTAACGACCTTGCACCGTAAAAAGGAAGATGTTTCGAAACCTCGATCAAAGCCTCGGACAGACGGACCTAACAGAGGACCGAACGGAAGAGGAGAATTGAGGAGGCCGTGGACCGAATACGGGCAGGAAAGCCATAGAAGAAAAAGAATGTAAATGCTTCTGAGGTCTGTGTGAGCAGCGTGCTGCCACGTAGGTGGTGCGATACCTGTTCGGCTAAATCATACCGTCGCGGCAAGCAGCCAGCATCAGCCGACAATAACGCTTAATGGAGCGAGTGTACGTAATGTACATGTTCATGTAATGTGACTGAAGCCTGGTTTGCTAACGCAGAACACGTAAATGGCGGTCTGGAAAGTTAAAGTTGTGAGTGGCTTGACGAGCCCGTGATTCAAGGTTCAGCTGTTTCTTGCGCTATCTCTGTTAAATTTGGTTTGTACGCGCGAATTCTCCGAACCCAGCCGTAAGTTAAATGCGCCCTTCTGGCCATTTATGTATGTGTTTGCCCCTTTTTATTATTACTATGATCAAAAGTTCCTGTTGTTTCACTCAAAGTGAGAGCGATGTTCTTGATCAGCTGAGATGTAGAAAAAGGTAGTGAAAAAGACTGAGAGAAGGAAAGTTCAGCAAAGACGAGACGGTCCCTGAAAATCCAGGGACACGTAACTGATAAGAAACCTGGAAGAAAAGGAGCCCATTGCATACGAACCCGACCAAAGCTGATGGTTCAGTGCAAAGAATCAGTAAATGAACTGCGCATCAAACATGTGATCCATACCGTCAGATGTAAAAGTAGCACAACAACGACATACCTCAGCACATCCATTTCAAGAGCACACTGGAAGTAACACGCGAGGAAGTTCCGCAGATCTGTGTGCGACCAGGAAACTTGTCTCCAGGGCTCCAGGCACCTCTCCACCAATTCAAGAAACAAGGACCGTAGTTCACGGGAACGATGAAGGTTGCACGCGAGGCCCACCAGCGCACGCGTGTACGATCTGAAGTTAGCGTCCAGTTCTTGGTATGAACGCTCCAGCAGTTGTGGTTTCAGTTTCTGACACACTAAGCTGAAAGCAAATAGACACAAATCATCACTAACCCTCCTCATCATTGCGTACTACGTCATCTCGCCATCTGTGAAGGCGCGTGACGAGAGGAACATGCATGATATTGATTCAAGAATGGCATCGAGACAAATGTTACGTAGCGCATAACATGCACAGAAAATCCACATGTACTTAGACTCGCATTGCAGATGCTCATGAATTGGAATTAGTTCTTCGTACACATTCTGACAAAAATAGATTTTAAGAATGTGTGATAACAAAGCCAAATGAAATATCAACATGATCTGTAACAATAATGGAGAGAAACTATGAGATCTTGTTGTACGCAATATTATATCGCCAATAAGTGAATAATCCCGATACAGTAAAACTGCCAACACTTATGTTCAATTTTACAAGTGCTGGCGACAAAAACACTGAAATAATGTAGTACATAGAAGAGGCGAAGTTTTACGATGCTGATCTAATTTGAAAGGGATGGGAAAGTGATGAGAGAAAGAAGGGAACAAAAGAAACAAAAAAAGGAGTAAGTGGTGCACTACACCATTTTTATCGTACAATCTGCATGTGTCCCTTTAAGTTTAGCACAACAGCTCTTTCTTCTGCTTCTTCTTGTACGTTTATGGATTAGACATTAAGGTCTGACTGCCTCCTGAAACTCCCGACTCACCATCAGGGATCCTTCCTTCGTGCACGATGCCGTCCCACGGTCTGGGAACAACTTTCAACTCATGTCTGTGTGGAAATTGCAAAAGTGCCACTGCCCCCATATGCGAGTCCAGATGCTGAGCCCATACAGTAGTCATGTATACCCCAGAATGTGCCCCAGCATGGGCCGAGTCATTCTGACCCACACGCAACTATCGGTCTATGCCAATTTGATGTTACCACTAAAAGGAGCCATGCACGGTGCCGAGCGGGGAACCACGGACAGTAACGGGTCCCCTAGGGTGCGGGACTTGCTGTTGGGTCTCAAAATATAAGAGTAACTGCTCTGAAGCATGAAATCGGGTCATCGTGGAGGTTCTCTTGCAGCAAACAAAACGCATTAGACACGTACGACTCGTAACTGAGATCGACTGTGTACGTTTTCACACCGTCGTTCTGCGTGAAACTTTGCAAGTGGTCGAATCCTATCTCTTGTTGTGACACTGTAACTTTATATTAAATAGTACAAAGGCAAAAGCATCTTCAGAAGCCGACGGCTCATCCGAACCCGCAAACGAGAGCACAGACGCTTCTGACCACAGATTCTCAGGTGAGATGATGAAATTCATTTCTGTCAGTGAACTTATTAGACAAGATTCCACTATCCCCATTAATATCGTGACAGTGATAATAATGACCAGAAAACAAAAGCACGCCCAGTTTGTATGCATGATTTTATATATTTTAGATAAATATTCAACATGCAAGGTTTTAAGACGCCCAGCAAGTTGAAGATGGGCAGGAACCCATCTATAAAATAACAATTCTGAGGTAACGAATCAAGAAAACGTAAACATCAGATTTAAAATGTTGTGCACTTACTGCTTGTGTTCTTTTTCTTTCTCAAGCAATATCCTGAGCTCCCTGAGATCCAGAAGAAATTCCCTGTCCAATTCTTTATCATCGTACTCAGGAACGCCTTTATCCACGTAAGTCCACGAAGCCATGATGGACTGCGCGCAATGATAGAAGTCGGGAAATGTGAGGTACTGAAGTTTCTTCTTGCCGGTTTCAAACTTTATGCAAGCGATAAAAACAACAGCTCCGTAGCGCCTGCAACGTACCATCGCATGACATCAACACCGTGTGAGCCGATGCTTAAAATGCAGAGAAAAGTATACAGAATGAGTTTCAAAACTACAGCCACCAGAAGAAAGTGAGTTTTCATAGCAACTGTGTCGCGTATAGTTGTGGAATGGGCTCGTCTTACGCTCCTTTTGTCCTAGCAAGAACTGAACGTTGATAAACAGAAAACTCCACTTGCAATCAACAGTCCTTGAATATTTTGCACTGGAGGCCACAAAGACTACAGCGTCTCCCCCAAAACAGTATCAGAAATCAATGACATGAAACGACATCCAAACGGTTTCTGCGGTATAAACCAAAAGGACTGGCGCAAAGGACGGAATAAGTTTGTGAAGTTGAAACAGGCTTCATTGCCGATAACATAAAATATAGAAGAATAGGGAATTGAATTGGTCAAAAATCTGATTTCTTCACTCCATAACACTGCATAAATGGTTTGAATACGAGTGAAGAGTTCATATCAGAGAGAGGAGGGAACTTTCTGCGCCGCTCGTGGCTTTTCCTACGTACCTGGCCAGTTCCTCGGGCAGAAGGAAATTTGTTTTGATGTTCTGGACAACAGAGCCTTGCATGTCTTCCACAACTTTAAACACTCTCTTCACATTGTCAAACTGTCTTCTGCAAAAAAAAAAAAAAAAACACTAGGGCATTCCAAGTGAAGACGCTCCATGCACAGGATTTTATTTAAAGTCTTTTGAAGATGCATGGTTCTCTTCTGAAGTAAGGATAGAAGGCTGAAGCGATACAACCCTTCGAATTCTGGCAGTCGATGTGCCACTGTCGCTACAGTCAAAGCAGAGGACGACAGCAAAATAGTTGCGCAGTTTCCTTCTTTATACACTGCGTGTTAGAATTCGTACATAAAATCAAATCCACATTAGACCAGATTTCACATCTCTTAGAAACACAAGAGTCTGCTTAGTATGATCTGAGGTTATCATAGTAGCGAGCTTGAAGATGGCAGTCTTCTGGGTTGTTCCATTCTGTAGTCTGGTAGACGTTTACCGACGCTTATCGAGTAATTAATTTACGACTGCAGTACACATCTTAGAGGACTTACAAACTACAACAAACCTGCAAGATTTGAGAAGCACACATGTCTTTTCACTCACTTCATCCAAATCCTTCCTATGGCGAGAGGACAGCTTCTTTCCCAGTAATTCCCGTATCACAGCATCATCAAATTCATAATACCTGTACAAATGAGCAACACAGTTACCCTCTGCAAATATAATTAGACCATTACCCAATTTTGGACTTCAAAATGGTGTGTTCTTTATTATTATTTGTATTTAAAAATTCTGCATAAACTCGTCAGACGATAATTGAAAGATGGATATGGGAATGATTACAAATAAAGAATGATGAAAGAAGTATCATCACAATATTTTTCATGATGCGATTCGGGAGAGAAACAAAAAGACGTCCATAAAGACAAAAGAAGTTGTGACCCGAAAAGAACATCACAAAATATGCGGGCAATTATAAATATAAGAAGATTATTATATATATATATATATATATATATAAGTACAAGAAATTAAGGTCTTACTTTTCTATAAGGAGCCTTCTTGTCTGTGGCTCTATCTGGAAGGCAAGCTGTTCAGCTAACTTTGGTGGATTGTGGAGCAATCTCTCTAAGAGGCTGTAAGTACGATAATGGTCAAGCACATCTGAAGCAACTAGCTCTAGTGTCGCTCCGGACTGTTGTATTACTCCCCGCTGGTTTAGAGCTGTCACAGCTTCCGAGGCTATCAACAAAGCGGTACAGACCCTGCATACAAAGCAGCCTTACAAACCTACTATATTATAGATATATCTCTTTGTTCGATACTTACAGAAACTGACAGAAGATTTAAAAATTTACTCACAGACATTCACATAATAACTCTGTATTACCTAGTTTAATATGGCCAGAACTAAATACAATGTTTGCTCTCATTATTATCATTTGTAGTAGACAACATATTTCAAACAAACGCAGATACCCATAATATAAGTACAAGATACAGACATAACCTTCACGTGCCAAACACTAAATTCGCTAAATATCAAAAAGGAGTTTAATGTACTGGAATTAAGCTAGTCAATAATCCCCCCCCCCCAATATAAAAAGTCTAAATCACAATACAAAGAAGTTGAAGCCAGCACCAAAAGTGTACCTCCTACGTCACTCCATTTACTCCATAAAGGACTTTACGTCAACCAAAAATTCTGTTCTTTCACTAAACATGAAAGCACATAATAATAATTATTGAAACATAAATGTAACATAAAACATAAAAGTATGTCACAAAAAGGAGCAATGGTAATCTGGAAGTTAGAACGCTGGTTTCAGATGCCATCAATTACAGATGTGGAACTCACTGGCCCTTTCCACGTGTACATAAATTAAAATCGGTGGACAATACGAAACTGCAACCGGTCAGGGATATTTTTAACACTAACAGAGCTCTCTTAAGAACTGACCAATAAAGAAAAACTTGTGGGTTCTAAACATAAATTAATAATTCTCTGCTTGTACTGAATAATGCAATATTAGTGACAACAGAATTGTTATCAAACGCACAATAAACTGTGTATTGTGGTCACAACGATACACAACTTAAATGCAGCACAAGAGATTTTACTTGTGGGTGAAACAAATGGGGGGGAAGATCAGAACAAAAAATCTCATACACATACAATTAAAAGGAAATATCTGACGACAAATCTTCTACCACTGTGTGGGAACAGATACAACTGTGTCAGTGAACATCTTCACGAGATGTAAGACATGCAGCTTTCACGGCGACTGAATGTAAGGTCATATGGCAAATGTGTCATCAGTATAGCTATACCAGCCGCATTCAGTGTCTGTTACTCAAAATGATCCGTGTAGAAATTGGCCAGAACTGGGGCGACCCAGCCATCTGGTCCACTGTAGAGAAAGGAGGCCAACATGACAGCCTGCCATAACTGTTATATGGCTTCAAACCTCTAACCCAGCAGTTGTAAAGTATCCTTTGGTGGAACTTTGGTGAACAGAGGGACCACACCAAAATCAACCAGATTATCACTATGATGTGGAGTTTCTGCATGAAATCCTCTGAATTTCTTACACTGGTCAGACAGGACCAGGAATGGGCTGCATAACTTTTCAAACAACCTGTCTGATTCATATTTCAATGAGTAACATTTCATTGCTTTTGAGTAAAACCATCACAGCCATTGTTTTATAAAAATAATTATGTAACCTGAGGTACTTTCCCAGGACATGAAAGTGCACCGAAGAGACAATCCCAAGCACACAAGATGCTTCCCAATTGTATTAAGTTCCTACATGACAACATATTGTAAAACTAAAATGTTCTTTTCATTATTAGTAGCATTATCCCATGCCAACAGGGATTATATTATGCATTTTTACCTCATGACAAAGTCACACCTGAACCACAGCTAATATTCTGAATATCTGATACACTCAAAAGCCCTCAGAATACAATTTACTTACATTCCACAAATCCTTCATTGGCCCAAGCAAAGGAAGTACAACATTTCATACTTGTTTCCAATACAAATATAAGTTAAATGATCATGACAGTAATTTAAAGACAACTACAGTATTACCGAAAAATAATTACACAAGAAAGCATGTCCACTATTGCTTGCATGTACTTATAATAACTAAGACTTTTTGGTTGTGCTAAATTCATCTAGTAAGTAGAAAAGTGAGATAGGGGCTACCATTTAAGAGTAAAACTTCGTGTTTGGGTACAAAGGTTAAAAAATCAAAAAACCTTGGACAACATGTTTTTACATAATCGATAAACTATGACTGCTATAACACTAGGAGTGCATGAAGAGCAAACGCAGTGTTCATTTGTGTACTTACAAGAACATCCATCAACCCATAACTGATATACTTCTGGATCAACTAGAGTGTAATTGCTTATGAATACGTCAACTTCTGCGAACATTTCTCTACACACACATCCTATTAATTAAAATCCAAGGTTCCTGTTTAGTCTCTTACAGTTACACTACTTAGACATCAACATCGGAGAAACATTCTTTGAGTACAACAGAAAATCGGTACTTCAATGTCAAACGTTGGCAACGCACATTGTATGTGACGTAACGCATATATTGTGCTGCCATCTATCAACAGCAATGACTTATTTTATCGGTAGCATTTTCCTGGGGGAAATGTGTAACATTCGTTAGTCTTTGATGTGAAATGGAAATAGAACAATTTTCTGTGTACTTGCAAGGAGTTATTTGCAATGTTCTTTTACTCAGGAACAATCTGCTTAAGACGAGGTCATTCTGTCGAGCATAGTGACTGCTTCTTGCATGACTGTTCCATTCACATATGCAGCAAAATTCCGTATAACCAAGCTGCATACCGAATACAAGAACAATGACTTTTAAATGTCCACAAATATTCCAACAGTATTTACTGTACTGCATGCAGCTGAGCAGAAATTCCATTTTTGCATATAACTCATATGCACAGGATAAGCAATGGGGATTGATGGTAAATTGTTTTTTTATTTCAAGAACGCCCATGAGACTTAACTTTGAAGAACCAATGAACAATCGCCAATCCTCCGGTCACTGCCCTTGAACCCCCATAATTTAATTTATTATTCATTATAATTCATTTATTCATAATAATTTAATTAATTTTATAATTTAATCAACATTGTTGTAGTGGGATATGTATCGCCATTCCTGCAAAAGAAACTTCCTTTTCAGTTATGAAAACCGAGAAATTATGCCCCCCCCCCCAAAAAAAAAAAAAATTAATCCTTGTAATCTGGAATCAAGATGCTCTGCTTGATTCTATGACAGATTTAAGTCTCATACAAGATCATTTAATTTAGCCTAGGTTATTAAATGGAAGTTTTCTGAATTTGATAGTACATATTCTTTATAATGATCCATATATCTTGTCATGCAAATCCATCTGAGCATAATCCTCAAAGTTCAATGATTCTTGTCTCTCAGGTGCAAGTAACTCCTCACTGTGTGCTATTAACCTCAAATCTGATGGGAGATATGGCATTTCCATATATCATTTGTTTTTAGATGTGTATCCAGAAACATCAGTCAAGCAAAAGTATTATTCTGGTGCATGGTCTTCGTTACACTCCAAATCTTGGGTACAGGAAATGGCATAGCACGCCATTTCCACTGCATAAAAATAATAATTCAATATGGAACAATGTGCAAACAGGGGCTTGACAGTAACACAGCAGCACTGTGTAGTCTGGTAGAATTTAAACACTTTTGAGAGGCCCTTCATTTCCCTTATGATGGAGGCAGCAGGGACCTCTGAAATGCTTGTAAACTTCTACCAGACTATACACAGCTATAACCCAGAGGACAGCCATCTTATTCCCATACTTCCCTGAAAGCCACAGAAAATTCTCAGGACAGCCGGTCCTTGGACAGAAACGTGCATTCTAAATAAATTAAATTAATAGAATTGGAATGTAATGAAATTAAATCTTGTGCTGTTCAATTGCAATTCATGCAGTTTTAGAAACAGAACGAGTGGGAAGTGCAGAACAAAATTATTGTGCATGAATATGGACAGTTGTTTAAATCAGAGAAATATTTTGCATCTAATCCATCTGGCATTGGCACATGTAAAAGAACTGAGCTGGTTTCTCCCTTCTCTTCAAGCTTCTGAATTCAATGATTTTACAAACTATTCAATAATATTTCTTCACCAAATGAAAGTCCCTTCTTTCTGTAGCTTCAAACACTGCCTACTCCAGCACGGTCTGGGATCCGTAGTAGCGGGACGCCTGTTCTGAAGGTCTGTGACAACAGAAGAACATCATCATGGGGATTTTTTCTTCATGTCAGACTACTTGTATATAAACGTACAAACGTAATAAGACGCGTAGTGTTGAGTTGACCGATCACGGTGTTTCAGAGACCACCACTGTCTGTCCTCAGGTCAAAGAAAGGCCTCGTACCAGGGACTAACTGTGAGGCAAGAGACAGGCTTCATATATATTCTGCCATTTCTTTACACAATATGGAACTACTTCTGTGTTTCTTCTACTCGTCAGTTAATAGTAAGATACTTGCTATTGTGAAGCTCTCAAAGGATGATGAGATCGTCATTCATAATTATACAGAGCATCTAGAAGTTTATACAGAGATAAGAAGTGAATTAGTAATAACTTTCTTATGCAGTATAATGGTAATTTTTTATATACTTTTGTGATTTTTGAAACTAGCTCAGCATTGGATAAGTATTCTACAGACGTGTTGTCCGTGAGGCACGAGAGTAGACCTGACATCTTTGAGAGAGGCGGGGATAGAATTATGTGCTACTAGCGGAACGAAAAGCACCCGCAGCTTAAACAGGCCGTACGTCGTGAGCTAATGTACTGACTGACTAATAGCACAATGTTCTTAGGTAAGGAAGAAGGATAGAAGCATTCGAAATGTGGTGCTATAGAAGGATGCTGAAAATTAAGTGGACAGATAAAGTACGAAATGAGCCGGTCTTAGACAGGATAGGCGAAGGAAGAAGTCTATGGAAAAATCTTAACAGAAGAAGAGATAGGATGGTGGGACACATTCTGAGGCACCCAGGATTGGTTAATATGGTAATGGAAGGATGGGGGAGACAAAGATTGGAATATGTGACGCAGATTTTTGAGGATGTGGGTTGCAAAAAATATGTGGAAATGAAAAGATTGGCGCAAGAGAGGCGAAAATGGAGGACCGCATCAAACCAGTCAAAAGACTGATGACAAACAAACAAAA